TTCTTTCTTTCTTTCTTTCTTTCTTTCTTTCTTTCTTTCTTTCTTTCTTTCTTTCTTTCCCCCAAGACAGGGTTTCTCTATATAGCTCTGACTGTCCTGAACTCACTCTGTAGACCAGGTTGGCCCTAAACTCAGAGATCTGCCTCCCCAGTCCTGGGATTAAAGGTGTGCGCCACCACTGCTCAGCTGGGCATTTTCTTAAGTAGTGATTGATGGGGAAGGGCCCAGCCCATTGTAGGTGGTGCTATCCCTGGGCTGGTGGCCCTGGGTTCTATAAGAAAGCAGGCTGGGGCCCGGGCGGTCTTTAATCCCAGCACTCAGGAGGCAGAAGCAGGCAGATCTCTGTGAGTTCTAGGCCAGCCTGGGCTACAGAGTAAGTTCCAGAAAAGGTGCAAACTACACAGAGAAAGCCTGTCTCAAAAAAAGAAGGATAAAAAAAAAAAAAAAAGAAAGCAGGCTGAGCAAGCTGTAGGAAGCAGGCCAGTCAGCAGCTCCCCTCCATGGCCTCTGCATCAGCTCCTTCTCCAGGTTCCTGCCCTGCTTCAGCCCCTACTTTGACTCCCTCTGATGGTGAACAGTGATGTGGAAGAGTCAGCCAAATGAATCCTTTCCTCCCCTGGTTGCTTTTGGTTGTGTTTCATCGCAGCGATGGTGTGCTGGCTAGTTTTCTGTCAGCTTGATGCAGGATATAGTCATCTGAGAGAAGGGACTCTCAACTGAGAAAATGCCTCTGTAAGATCCAAGTGTAGGGCATTTTCTTGATTAGTGATTGATGCGGGAGGCCCCGCCCACTGTGGATGGTGCCACCCCTGGGGCTCTCCAGACTACCAGCTTCTAAGGGTCTTCTCTATGGTCATATTTTGTGTATGCTCTATCAAAAGAAGCTTGCCTGAAGACCAGAGGGGAATGTTAGCCCCTAGTTAGCCACAGAGGCCAGGCAGTGGTGGCACACACCTTTAATTCCAGCACTTGGGATCTCACACCTTTAATCCCAGCACTAGAGAGGTTGAGACAGGAAGTGATCTGGCTGGGTGGAGAGAGGAATATAAGGTGGGGGGAGACAGGAGCTCAGTCTTTTCGGCTGAGGAGTTGGTGAGGTGAGAGGTGGCTTGTTCCTTTGTCTCTCTGATCTTTCAGCATTCACCCTGATATCTGGCTCTGGGTTTTTATTAAGACCATTTAGGACACATGCCACACTTCCCAGCTCAGGTCTGTCCACAGCATGCACCCCAGCACAGCGCCATGTGCTGAGGACTGGGAGGACTTGCTGTAGCTGCCCACTGTGGGACACACCTGCCAAGTCATCACCTGGTCAGGCTAAGCACCCAAATTCTCTTCCTTATTCCCCTCTTTCTGCTCGTTTTGGCTGAGAAATGGCTTCTGTGGAGACTAGCAGAAATCATTCCTTGGTTTCTTTTCCTTCGGTCTTTCTGTTGAGGTATTTTGTTGTGTTCACCACCACCCACCGTGTGTCTTCTGTTCTCATCTATCTTTTTTCTGTTCTGCCTCTTCCTTTCTTCTTTTCCTTATTCTTCTTTTATCATTGTCCTCTTTTCTCTGTCTTAACAAGAAGCCCTTAAGGCTCTCTAAAGAATAGATAGGGACCCATTTGGGACAAGTCGAGATGCCAACAGCACTGAGGATGCCAGGCTGAAGAGGAGGTAAGAGGGTGGGGTGTCACTGGAGGGCTGTGGGAGTTCACCTGACAGTATCGTGCCCAGGCCTACAGCAACTAGAAACATAACCAAGTTGAGGGGTAAATAAGCCATGCTCACATGGAAAGCTGGGGAGATGCCCCAGGACAGGAAGTGACTCGCCTTATAACAGGCAGGCAGGGTCCCAAGAATTGTCTGGATGCTATAGTTTAGAACTCGTACATAACGAAGTGCATTCTCCCACACAAGCAATATTCTGAGCCGAGGCTGAGTGTGCATGTGGCTCGTAAAAGGCAGCTTCTCCATGAGTGTTCAAAGCACAGGATGCACAGAACCTTTGCAATACGACATTGTTTACTACAGCAGTAGCAATGACTTCTAGCTTCAACACCCTAAGGAAACAATCTCAATTCCCTACCGTTGGTGGTTTAAGGACCGGGGCTGCAGGAGACCAGATTTTAAAGGCCACTAGTAACTTCCTCACTTGCTAAGCAACCATGTGAGACCACTCTACTCTGGGACAAGCAGTCTCCTCCTCATGGTTTGAACAGAGAAAGAGTCCCAGCACGTAACTTAGGGATGAAGTGGCATTCTGGATGCAGAGTCCATCTCTCCTAATCCCAACACCACACGGGTGTGATGCTGAAAAATCCGGTCTTTGTCACAGATGCATTGGGAAGGACATCAGGGTGGGATGGCCCACAGGGCAGGCTGCGGAGTCACACAGACAGGAGCTGAGGAGAAAAGGTCAATTGCTGAAGTTTGGGCAATGTAACCTGTGAGGAAGCTGGAGAGACTGGAGG